CCCCCCGCGCTATGACACCCTTACTTAACTATGCCCCAAAATATACGCAATACAAAAGGTAAAGGATATTTTAGCATACCCTTTAATTCGGCAGGTTCTTCTAATATATGTTAATATCCAACATGGAATCGCTTTTTAGGTCGTCGACGAACGCCCTGTATCAAACCAAAGATAAAATGCAGAGTTACCTATCGCCTCCCAAAATCTGGGTCTCGTAATGTATCAACGTAATGGTAATACCAGTGGTCATTAAACTATGTATTTTGTCCTTTAGTCTTGAGATTTCAATGGATTCTTTTGGCATTGGTGTCAGGGAAAAAACGCCAAGCTCGTTATCTCGCACGTAAAAGAGCAACTCACATGAGGGCAACTGCAAGACAATTCAATGAACAACTCCGTTCGTCTGCCAGGATGTCTCCCATGCAGTATATGTTATCTCTGACAGTCATTATTTTTAAAATCGAATTGCTTGTAAGTTTGAGTAAAGAGAAGCACATGGACAGGGTAACGGTCGTTTAGTGTAGGGGGAAAGCATGGCAGAAGACAGAAACAACAGGGTTAAAGAAAAGAAGTAGGACCTACCAGTGGCGCCCTCTAACCACCCACTTAAAACTTTAAAACATGTCAGATTGGTCGTAAAACATGTAGAATAAAGCAGAATTCAGTCATCTTTTCATCTTTCCAATTTCTCGCAGTCATATCGCCCATTTCATCTCTAAATATTTCATCTACGCTACCACCACAACATCAGTCTCTCTCGTAACGTTACACCAATTCTCACGCCTGGTACTTATATCAGCTTATTGCGTTGCAAGTGCCGTAAAACTCTTACTAAAACTTTATGAAAAATTCTCGCACCATCCACAGGTGGCCCTCGCCCGCCTGCCTTCGCTGCCAGCCCCGGAACCAGACTGTTTCACTGCGAGAGGGCTGGAAGTGAGGAAGTACAGACGCCTTCACCGCACCATTGTCATGGAGTCCGGAATGTGGCTATGTTGTTACCTGCCTTTCTTCCTCTACCTGGGCCTGGCCTGCCCCCAGTGTCCTCTATCTCACTACCCGTACAGGGACTCTGCTGTCCTCTACTTCATCCCCGTCTTCCTGGTCAAATCGCTGCTCAGCTCAGCGTTACAAGCTGTGAGAACACTACACGTGCACGCCATTATGAACAGGCTTTTGGCCGACTTTTCGGTGATGAGACATTTGAGGCGGATGCAAACAAGAGGGAGTGGGAGTGAGGGGAGTGGGGAGAGGGGGCGTGAGCGCCCAGCGCAGCCCAAAAGCGCGGGCGAGACCACCATCTCGTACATTAACCCTCTGTGCAGTGACGACGAAGGAGGTGGCGAAAATCACCATCAACAAAACCGAAGCATCACTATCATCCCCCATAGGCATAACGATTACCATCAACGCCATCATCATCACCGCTATCCTAACAACAACAACAACAACAATAACCGCCAGAGTTTTCTTAACCAACAGCGACGACGCCCGCAGTCCAGAGAAGATCACGATCTGACCCAAACACCGACCCACAATCACCAACAGTTACAGCCACTGCAGCTGCAACTACAACAACATTACGAACAACAAGAAGTGCACCACCAGCAGCAACAACAACAGCAACGCCAAAAGTCCCAGTCCCGGTTCACTGTAAGGGAGAGCGACTTCCTGCTTCACCAGGCCATCAGCGACAGCGACCTGACAGATCTGACCCACAACTCGGACACACCGCCCAGCGACACCGGCTCGCGCTCCTCCCCCGTCATGGGCATTGTCAACCTTGCCTTTCGTGAATCCATAGACCTCGGTCACCAGACACTTGATGATGTGCCCATAGAGACCACAGCGCTATAGGGATTGCGATATATTCTACCCGTCAGTGTATATCTCTGACAGACAACAATGCTATAGAGGCATTGCTATATCTGCCACCAGTGGGAGTATATTATCTCTCCCAGACCACAGTGCAAGCATTGCTCTTCTACTCGTCAGTGTATATATCTCGCAGACCATAGTGTTATAGGCACTGCTGTCTCTCTTATCGGTCAGTGTATATCCGTCACAGTTTTCAGTGCTGAAGTCGCTGCTGTATCTCCTATCCGTCACCGTCAAATTATAACATGTGTGCATACCATAGTGCTATATATAAGTAGAGTTGTATCTCCTATCGGTCAGGTCATAACATGTGTACATACCACAGCGGTATAGGCGACTGCAGGATCTCCTACACGTCAGATCATATCTCTCACAGACCACAGGGATGTAGGCATTACCTCATATCGTCTATCAGTCTGGTTATATATGATAAATACCACAGTGCTGTAAGCACAAGTGCATCTATCAGTCAGACCACAGCGCTAAAGCACTGCTAGTATCTTCTATCAGTCAGATTATAACATGCGTCACATACTATAGCACTATAACTATAAGCATTGTCGTATCTCCTACAAGTCATGTGATATCTCTCGCAGACCACAGCGCTATAAGCACTGCTGTTATCTCCTATCGTATCAGCCAGATGATACACGCAACAGACCACAGCGGTATAGCACTGCTATATCTCCTACAAGTCAGGTCATATCTCTCACAGACCACAGAGTGTAGGCACTGAAGTGCATCCTGTCCAACAGATTATATATGTCTCATATCACAGAGTCTAAGCACTTCTGTATCTCCTACTAGCCAGCTTATATCTCTCAAAAAACCACAGCGCCACAGGTACTGCTGTATATCCTACCAGACGTCAGACTTTACCTGTCACAGCAACTGTTGGTCTCATGTATTAAGTGCCGTCCTCTTTCCCTTGTCAAATTAAACCTTTATTGTATGTTTACTCTCTCGATCGCTCTTTCCGTGAAATTAAAGACAAAATCAGGTGGGTCCAAACTTTTGGCATTTCCCAAGACCCCAATAAAGACGATTTACGAACGAGGATCGTTTGAACAGGTGTCTAATTCATTAGTGGAAAAATCACAATACGTCGTTGCTTAAAAGAAACATCATGGATACGCAATTGCCTGACCTCAAAGAGGCATTTTCAGATATATAGCAGATATGACTGAAGAAAATCTTCGCGAGGACATCACTTAATATTCAAAGTCTCACCAATTACACCCATTATCATAATACAGAGGTAACAACTGGATACGAAAAATACATGTATTCGAATTTTTTCAGACCCTGTGGAAAGGCTCACGAGGGAGGGGGGAGGGGGTATAATTTACGGATCATAACTGTCAAAAACGTCTTGTACCAAGACTAATCCCGCGACAATCAGCATAAGGTTGGGCAAAAGCCAGACAATTTTTAAAATTCCGACTTTCAGATTTCTAAAGAAACCGTTTCTTCTGATAATAGCAACAAAGTCATAATACTGAATTTCTAATATTTTGGTGGTTACACCTTTTTCGTTTGTTTTGTTTAGAGTTTTGCAGCACTTGCAACACAAATTGGTCATATAAGTGCTGAAGATTAACGGTGTTTCCAGAGAGTAACATACACAAAAAAGGAAGAGAGACTACGATAGATATTTGACAGGCAGGAAGGAGTAAACCACACCAGAGCACCCGCCGACCAACCACTCACACCATTTTCATCAGTATCAGTGTGATTGGTTTGAGTGCAGAGAAGCACATCGACCCCCCCCCCCAAAAAAAAAAAAAAAAAAAAAAAACCCAGCCATTTTGACACAAGGAAAAAGCAAGGTAGACAAACAGATGAAACAAAGAAGAAGAAAAGCAGTCGGATCTACCCGTGGCACCTTGCAACTATCAGCTTTCAGGTCTCATCCTGGAGCGCCGAGAGAAAGAGTTTTTTGGTAATGTGTGTGTTGGGGGGGGGGGGGGGGGGGGGGGATTCCGGTGTATTTTGTTGGTCAACACGTTAAGCCGAAGAAAGACAAAAATATAATACCCGAGCCGTACATATTTACACAAGAGGGTAAACCAAAATTTCACTCATAAACATTAATTCCATCAGTAAAAGCAAATAGAAATGTACACATATCACCTATTGTACTTCTGCTCACATTTACACCTATGGCATAATGAACATATACACCTAAAAGTCCTGTGAACTACACCAATGGAAAGCAAAGTACACTACAAAAAATATTTTTTAAAGAAAGAAATTGAACAATATGAAATGTCGAAAGGACTCATTTCGATCTATTTTCGAGCGACAGGCAAAGAACAGCGATTTTACATTCGGATGACAAAAACTGTAATTGAAAAATACATGTTACAATAACAAGAGATAAGAGAAACATGTATGTTTGTCGATGGCTTATCAAGTGCAAACGCGCCCATGTCAAGAGCATGTCATTATCAAAAAGGCCAGGTTCCAGGTGTTCCCATCAATTACACTTTGGCTGAAACATCCTCTGAAATATTTTTGGGGGGTCTATTTCTCTTTGTCGGCAAACAAGAAAAAATAACATCCACCTGACATGAATGACGTTCTTTGGTTCTTATCGTTTTACCGAAGAGCTGCTCGTCTCTCTCACCCTCATTGGGCATCCTTTGAGCAGAAGTTAAGACAAAAGGGTGGGGGGAGGGGCGATATCATTTTGTGTTTTGTGCATTTTATACCCCCCCCCCTTTCTGTCCCTGTCTGTCTGTTTGTCTATCTGTCTGTCTGTCTGTCTGTCTCTCTCTCTCTCTCTCTCTCTCTCTGCCCCCCTCTCTCTCTCTATCTCTCTCTCTCTCTTTCTATCTCTCTCTCTATCTTGTCTCTGTCTCTCTATCCCCCAATTTATCCATCTATCTGTCAATCTCTCTTCCGCCCCGCCCCCCCCCCCTCTCTCTCTATCTCTCTCTCTCTCTCTCGCTCTGTCTGTTTCTCTTTATCTCTCTCGGTCTCTCTCTCTCTCTCTCTCTCTCTCTCTCTCTCTCTCTCTCTCTCTCTCTCTCTCTCTCTCTCATATACCTTTCACAATGTTGAGCCTTGGAGCACACCGTAACTGCTAACTCCCACGCCGACATTACTTTCTTTGGGCATGGCTACCAAAACTTGCTGGTTCTTGTTTTAGTTTTAGTAACAGTTTTATGGCACTTGTAACACAATAAGGTCATATAAGTGCCGAAGATTAGAGGCGTTACAAGGGAGTAACAAACATTTAAAAAAGGATAGATCAGTACGGTATATGCTTGCTAGGAAAGGAGCAAACCACACCAGAGCACCCATGAACCACCCACCTTGCTGGTTCTTGTATCACGAAAAGGGTCACATTACAAAACGTTACAGTAACAATTATTTCTTACATGCTAAACTGCTCTGCACCACATGCAATTGCACAGAATCAAGACATGACATTTTTTTTAAAAATACATCCCTCTAAATGACTCTTGCCTAGATTTCCAGCATCACAGTAAGTGCACGTAATTTAAAGCTCCAAAGTTGGGCTTTTAATGTAAGTATTTTACGGCCCAATCGACATAGTCTATATCATTTAGAAGGCGAGGTTCGACCTTGCTTGTCAAGGTCAACCCGGGCTAAGAGAGATACATCATACAACGTCCCAGACGAAAGACCGAGATAACGGATAAAAATGTCCTCAACAGAGGTACAACGCAACAATGCTACAACAGAGCGCCTAACCCTGCACCACAGAGGCCGGTGCCCAAAAAGTCGCCAGACAAACCTATTACAGAAGTTGGTAACACATTAAACTTCCATTTAGTTGCACGTTCCCTTTCGGCCCGATACATGGACGGCTGTTACATTTGTTTCTCCCACGGCAGATGCAAACCGATATCTCCCAATATAGAACATTCACTATTTCGCGACACCAACTAATAGATATGCCATTATGTGATCTACGCATTACAGAATATATCGATAAAACAATGTCTGTGTCTGTTGCTGCTGTCACACTGTATACATGTTATTGGTGAGGTGATATTACGAGAGAAAGATAATTGCTTTCGGCATTACATGAACGTATAATAGTGCACGCTACAGTGTTGGCGAACGCCCCCTCTCAACGCTAAATTTGTTCAAGAGACCTGAACCTCATCAAATATTTATCTTGAATAGGAGCAAACCAAACGGGACGAAAATCCAGAAAATATCTCATCTTCCCACGAAAATTATGTTTGTGCAGAGAATCGTTTGTTTTTATTTGTGCGTTAAAGTAAGAGTTTACCGCACTTGCAACAAAATTATATCACATAAGAGCCGCAGATTAGAGGTGTTACAAGAGAGTAACAAACACACAAAAAAGAATGAGGAAGGATAATGGCAGTAGGTATTTGATTGGAAAGAAAGGGCGAACCTCACCAGAGCACCTGATAACCATCTGCGTTGAGACTTCAAAGATGATTGTCATGTTACAATGTCACAAAGAGTCATCACAAAAGTGCATCCACTTCACCTCACCTCCTAACGAATTTTCTGTCGCTTAAAAAAACAAACATCGTCCGGACATGGAGATGTTCGAGCACAAGGGGTTATGAAAAAGGATGTTGTTCATGCACAAGCAATTGTCATCCACCACCCCCCCCCCCCTTTTTCCCAATAGGATTATATGTCTCTGGTATACTTGAGACTTTAAAAAATGAGGGTGTGATATTTTTATATGTTGTAGGATAACCAGACTTACCTGAATGCTTGACGGTGTAATCTCTTCCTCAAAGGTTGACGTGCAATGACCCGCCATTGCTTACGATCATGGCTGCTGCCATACACTTGTGTATGTCATAGGCCAGCCCATGCCTTGTTGTTATGGGTCCACACTGTTCTTAGTCTACCCTTGGCCATTATAATATTGTTTGTATGAGTAAAGAGAAGCATATCGACACAAAAATGGCGATTTAGTTCTGGGAAAAAGTAAGACAGACAGACAGACATTAACAACAGAGGGAGAGTAAAGAAGTAGGACTTACCAATGGAGCCCTCCAAACACCCACAGCCCTTTTGCCTCACACATTGGTTTCGAGTATTTCCTTATTGGTCTAGTGGCGTTCTATATGACAAGGGTATTGTATTTTTCTACATTCCATTTTGTTAAGCCGGGTTTGACTTGTGTGGAGAATCTGGTACATCTAACTGTTGGTCTTTTTTGTCGTATCAGTGATCTAGGATGTAAAATGACTTGGGGTATGCCAAAGAGGTTATACATAGAACCAACACACACACACACACACACACACACACACACACACACACACACACACACACACACACACACACACACTAGTATAACCTCGTTGGGGTATGCAAATTTCGGGGTAGCATATATTCTGTGACGTCATACAAAAAAGGAGTACCCCCGTTGTTTCTGCAGCTTCGGAAAATCTTCCCAGGTACAAGCCTACCCCCAGAAAGCATTGTGCGGAGATATGAGACTGCCCCCGCTGGGTATGACGAAAATCAACTTCCACAAAACAAGCATCATGGAGAGCAGAGGTAGCACAATTGTCATGGATCAAGTGCAGGGGTTAAGGACGCACACGCATGAACACACACACACACACACACACACACACACACACACACACACACACACACACACACACACACACAGAGAGAGAGAGAGAAGGAGGGAGAGAGAGGGGAGAGAGAGAGAGAGAGAGAGAGAGAGAGAGAGAGAGAGAGAGGCTTAGGCAGTTTAAAATAGTGACACAATGTTATCTTCCATTCGTTTTCCTTTTTCTCTTAATCATGTAACCCTCTTCCAATCTCTGTCGCTTTCTTTCTATCTTTCTTTCTACTCCCCCCCCTCACACACACAAATATTATATATCATAATTATAAACATATAATATATACGTAAGTGTGTGTGTGTGTGTGTGTGTGTGTGTATGTGTGTGTGTGTGTGTGCGTGTGTGTGTGTGCGTGTGTGTGTGTGTGTGTGCGTGTATGTGTCGCTCTCTTATCTTCCAAAATTAATTTATATCTCGCTTCTTCCCATCGACGGTAACAAGTTTTCTA